GAGAATGGCACTGTGGAATATGTGATAAATGTATGTGAATTGAGCATATTGGAAATATGTATTATATGCATTTTTTGTTTAGGTACCTATGGTGTCACTTCACCATGTGAGGGATGTGGAGGAAGAAGTGAAAGATCGGTTGTTTCTTAGAACATTGTTTACATACAAAATTCATTGTACATATTATATAATAATAATTATTTTACATACAACGAACATATAGTTTTCTAGGTTTAGATTTTCTGGGTAGACTTTCGATAGATATTCACTTGTATTTACTTTGCGAAAAGATCTTTTGTTTTTTAAATAAAAAACTTTTTTAATCATTCGGGGTGGGTGGGTGGGTGTGGGTGTGGGTGTACTCTTGATCTAAATCCACACCCACCCACTCACATACTAGAGTATTTACACTCACACCCTCTAGAACACCGGAGATAGAATCTTAGTTTTTGTGACTAATATTAAGGTAAAAGTCCTTTCACGCACGCACTTAAGACGACAGTCAGTTTTCTTTTTATCATCAAAGTCGATTTTTATTCATCTTCGTCTTGAATATTTACTTCTGTTCTCATTTGAACTGATTTCTTTATTGTTTTATGACACTCCTCTGAATAAGTAATCATACAAGAAAAGACTATACACTGTTCTCTTTTTTTGTTTCTGTACTGCAAAATTTTAATTTATTAGGCATCATATAATTCATTTCATTTAAAAATCTGCACATCAAACAGAAAATATCAACATGCATCTAACAGAACGGAATAATAGTAATCAGCAGCATCTGTTAGTACCTTCATCTGCTATTGACAATGATAACGTTACAAGGACTCAACGTAGTTTATCTATACTCGCGGCGATAGAGCCGATTGTGTTAGTAATAGAAGATGAAGAAGAAGGCGATGATGGTGAAACGGCGGCTGCGTCAAAATCGTTCGCTCTGTCTGGCATTCTGTACGGTCTTCTAGGATCCTTTCTCTTCGTCACAGGCACATTCATTATTAAAGAATTGCAAGTTGATCCACTCGATGCACTTATCATAAGTTTTATCGTACAGATTCCTTTGTTTGTAATCTTCGTTATATACCATCACTATCCAGTATGGGTAGGCTCATTAAAAGAAAAATGGCTACAGTTTGTCTTATGTATTCTAAATGGTTTCTTCTTTCTCGGATATTTTATTAGTGTTCGTTACCTTCCTCTGCCTGATTTGACAACACTCAACTTTACGCGTTTATTATGGACGGTTGCCTTTGGTATACTCATCTATAAAGAGAAACCGACAATAATGATTCTTTTAGCTGTTTGCTTCACATTCATCGGTGTTGTATTCGTAGCACAACCAACATTTCTCTTTAAACAAAAAAAAGTAGCGGAAACTGCTCTAAATATGACACTAGTAACATTAAATGGAACGGACACAGCAAACGCATAGTCGTTGAACAGGCGAATGATTGGCATCTCTCTTTCGCTAGCAATAGGTCTTCTATCTGCAATCAATCTTCTAATCTTTAAACAATTGATAACTTTGAAATTGAAACCAAGTGTTTTAGTTCTCCAACATTCCTTTGTCGTTTTCCTATGTCTTATACTCAATCAATTTTATAAATATTTTCTACTAAACGATGTGACACTCTTTACATTGACAATCTTTCGTTGGAAATATTGGTTAGAGACACTAATTAGTTTACTACAAAGTCTTGCAGTAATCTGTGGCATTCGCGCCGTAAAACGTGAACCACCATCTATTGTTACAATTGTCTCAGCATCAGAAATTATCTATACTATTCTTTTACAGAATTTTTTCACAAAAAATAAGTCAAATTTATGGATTTTACTTGGAAGTACATTGGTTATATCGAGTGTTTTGCTCATCGGTGTACACAAGCTTGTGCAAGAACGAAAGAATAGGAAGAAAAAGATTGCGGACGGTAATAATGTTAAGAACTAAGAAGAGTTATTTGCTCATGCATCGTTGTTTTTCTCCTTTTTTTTTGCAAGTATATTTCTAACCTAGGGGGAAACAGCGGACTGTATGACGGAATTCTCCGCTGTTTTAACAACGTGCAGCATTAACTAACCACATAGGTTTTGCCAAAATTCTGATCATTGTTAGGCCTCCCGCAATGAAACATGCACATTGAGGGGTGGGTGTGGGTGTGGGTGTGGGATGTTATAAATACGATATTCGCAATAAAATCGACATCCACACCCTCAAGATACTCTTCAAATCTTATTTCTGTCGTATAGTACTAACTGAAACATCCTGCAATTCAGATGACGGAGGCTTTAATAAAACAATATTTGACAATTTATTTTTTAATCTTTAAAGAACAAAACGAAAAGCATGCATTCTATTGCGATCGACATAGTAAGCAAAAGTCTTTATATATACAGTTGAATATTTCCATTAATATTATATGGATGGTTATTTTCTTTTCTAACATTTGATATCAATGATCATGATGTGTCATTAGTTGATATAGCACCATTTTGACCATGATTTATTGCATTTTCTTCAAATTCAACATGTGAATCAATACGTGATTTATTCCTATCACGTTTCCATTTATATCGACTAATGTAAAAGAAAAAAAAATCACAAATTTAAAAAAACTCGTGATTTATTCTTACCGACTTTGAAACCAAATCTAAAAAAAGAAAACGAATAGATTAACATAAAAAAAAAACAAGATTTTATTACTTTAATTTGTCGTTCAGTTAGTGCAATTCTATCAGACATTTCAATTCGTCGCCAACGTGACAAATATCTATTAATATTTATAAATAAATATAAAAATATTCTTTTCTTACTTATTATAGTGAAATTCTTTTTCTAATTCAAGTAGTTGATGACGTGTATACGGTGGTCGAGAACGTTTATATTCAAAATTAAATTCTATAAATAAAAAAGAAAGAACGTCTTCATATTAATCATTTCTATGTGTTATATACAGTTATGTATTGAGAATACATCATTTTTATCAATACCTTGTCTCATCCATGGATATTCATTATGAACCATTGCATTTGTAACTGACTTAGAAAATGTTAATGATGATATCGTATTATTAACTAATGATGAAACATCATTTGATGCTAGAAAAAGATTATCATTAATTGATTGATATTGTTCATGATGAGATATAGCTGTTTGCATCATATTCAAATTTGAAGATGTATTCATAAGTATTGGATTTTTAGTTGTTGGTGATAAACTGGAATCAGTATTCATTGGTTTTGTAATAGAGAGATAGTTAAAGAACAGTATTGTCTATAAAAGAATTCAGACACACCTATGGATTAATTTTAAAAAAACGTTAAATACGTATATTAATAAAGAAGATGGACGTTTTTAAATGGCAGTTGAAATTATTGTTGTTATGCTTAATTCAAAGAATGATCTAATGCATGCAATATGAACAGAAAAATATCGGACCAAAATTGCATTGAAAAAGAATAAGTGATATGTATACACATATGAATGTACGAGCTCGATATACGTCCTGTAATACGGACATGACGAGTAATGATACATGGCATCGGTCACCATAATATCTCTTGATAGTTTTGCTTCAGTCGTATTATCGCAAATATTTTTCAGCCATTCGCAACTCAAGGAAAGAAAATTCTCTGTCCAATCTATAGCGGTTATTGACCTTTATGCTTCACTTGTGACCTTTTGACCGAGGGTTGATCTTTTCGCTTTGCTCTCTCTCCTGTGTGATCACATCTATATGAGTTGCATTTAAAAAAGAAAGGACACAGTTGTGAGTGTGCAGACGACACCATCGTGCCGAAAGCTATAGACAGTTACTGTCACAATTCATCACATAACTAATCAATATCTTCCTTTTGTTTGATAGGCAATGTGCATATTCTTTCGTTTTCTTCTCCGAAGAACAATTATTCATTTTATCATTGCTCGATAAAGGCGTACATGTAGTGTCCATGCCAGTGAGTTCGAGAAACGCTGTTTTACTGTCAAAACGAAGCATATTAGAGATGGAAAAACTAGCAGTGCCTTTTTTTTCGTTCTGTCGTTATTGCACGTTGTCTATATGAGAAAGTTCGTATATCCATTTTTTGCGTGGTGCAACATGGAACGAAAGAAACAGAAAAGAAGATATACGAATTGCAGTGAATCACAGCCATTTGAAGATTCCGTAAATCTTTTTATCTTTAAATATTTAAATCGAAGTTCTGTTACAGATGGATAGTTAATATAAAACTCTTCACATAATCTGAATAAATAAGTGACTTGAAGATTGTAAATATTTTTCTTTTGAAAGGTTCGAACGAACTTTTATCACACTAAAGATGTGAAATATAAAGTATTTCACGCAATATAATTAGATATAACTTCAGGTAGATCGAGGGTTTGGGTGTGGGTAATAGTATGTTAAACTAGTCACACCCACCCCACCCCACCCTTTTTTATTTGAGTCTGTTAAATAATCTGCTTTGTCAGGACCCATTTTTAATCACGTTCTTTATTACTCTATGCTCAATAAGTATTTTTGTGAGAAGCTTCCTCTTTTGAGTATTTCGATGTATTATAAAATACAAACTCATTAGATATATAAAAAACAAAATTGTTTATCGCCATATGATGTATTTTTCTACGAAACATGAAAAATATATATGATTTCAACTCGAAATCCAATATATCCGGAAGCAAAACTATGGAAATAACATCTCTGACTGAAATTGATTGGTGAGGGTGTGAATGAAAGATGACTATACTTTCCACATCTTTGTTCTTGCGCACATACTCACTCTTCATTATATACAAAACATAAATACTTAATTTGAAAAATATTTACCTTGTAAAAGAATTGAAAATCAACAACGTTTGATTTCTCAAAAAAATTATCACTATGTTAAGACTTTATTTATTTTGTATTATCACAAACGTTAAAATACAGAACAATTACTGGCATAAGCACACACAAAATATATATTACAACAGAACAATTAGAGAAAGACTAGACATTTGATTTCTATTGGAATAATTATTATTAGAAGATATTCGTTGTTTTTCATTTATTTATTTTTTTGATTTGCTAAATCATTGAACTCGTTCAAAAAATTAAATAAACGATTTTTATCATTGTGGATGTGGGTGTGGCTGTGAAGGTGAATACATCTTAGTATAACCACACCCACACCCACTCCTTCAAGATAAAACAAATTATTTATCATTTCCTTGAATATTTATGTTTGTATGACAATGAATAACTGAATTAGTTAATCGATTAAAATAATAAAAAAAAATAATAAATAACAGACGACAATATTGCATTATAATATTGGATCATCTGAAGATTGGTCTATTAAAATATTTTTCTCGCGATGATAATTTATTAAACATTGAAAATGTTCATTTGGATAAATTTCATATCTTTGTTCATCAATATTTTGTGCATGATACTGAAGTAATGCTGTAACTTTTTCTTCATTATCTTAGTGAGCTGTTGGAAAATAAATTGTAATTATTTAAACAGTCAGTAATGCTTGATTGTGATACTTTAACATGTTTATTATTTTGTCCGAGTATACGCAGGACGATCATTCCGACCATCGGAAACGGCGTCTTAAACAGCCTAAAACAATTAAAAAACAGTGTATCACTGCATTAATTGCGATAGCATTTTGACGTAATTCGTCATCCCAGAAAAGTAGCCGTTTTTTGCCAGGAAACGGCTACCATTTTTCATACTATTTTTACCGTTTTCTGGGATGCCGGATCACGGCGACGACAAAATAACGGTTTTCACATCGTTTACGTTGCCGTTGCTTTTGACCTGGTTATTAATATTTCCTCGTTCAGCCTTGGTGTTGCTGTCGCATATTCATTACTGCGAAAAGAATATAATATTTGAGATAACGCTTCTGCCGTCAGATGATTAACAGCAATAGTTTTTTTTGTTGAATTAATCGTTTAAGACTAAATATTTTAGTAGAACTAATTGTTGCATTAAAAAGTATCTTATATATTTGTGATATTGCTGTGTCTTTTATAATTGTTTTGTATGCATACAGATGCAGCTTCAATAGATGTTGGAATATTTAGAACATATTTACTTAGTTAATATAAGAAAATACAATAAATTAATATGAAAAATATTGAGAAGTTTCAATACATTTTCTTTATTCTTTCTGACAATAAGAAAATAAATTTTTAACCAGAAAACATAAACTATTCCTTTATCGTTTATATGAGAAATCAATATTTGTTTTTCTATTATTCTTACTCATTAGTTAGAAAACGTAATCTTAATTTTCTGTTCTTAAAAGTTAATGAAATGTTATAATAATTGTAAATACCTGTAAGTAAACCACTACTAAATTAATAAAAAAAAGATATATATGATTTTCATTAAACTATTTCGCCAATAGATTTTACGCTTCAAAAAGATTGAGTACTATTGCATGTAAATGTTTAAGATCTGAAGATAAAACTGTGAATTATTTAAATTAATCTTTTCTTTTTTATTTTTCAAACCTTTTTGAATTTGTATAACCCAGGTCGAACAATCCGACACGGAAACGGTCCGTTCCCGGTAATTCTGGAGATCTCATGGAGGCAATATCTCGGTGAACGGATCCAGTCACAGGATTTACCCAGTTCCGGCCAAAAACGACATGTTTTCTGCGGGTTTCAGCCGGAAATTTCCAGAATACTGCTCTAGGAACCATCGTCACTGCTAGGAAAAGAAAACTTTTGTCGAAGAAAAGAAAAGATAACTATTACAGAGAAAAAAATTGAAAAAATAATTACTACACTAAGCATTATTGTTACGTAATGGTATTTTCTTTGTTTCCTTCTTTTTTTCTAAACAAAAAATAATTTAGAGAAATATAAAGTTAACAATGTTGTTACCTTTTTTCTTAATTAAATGTTTCAAACGATTCTGTGCAGCTTCAAGATCATCTTGGTATTGTTTTGATGCCATACTAGACACAGCTACTGCAATTTTTTTTTTCAAAGATTCAACTTTTTTTTATTCAAGTTTTATCTAAACACAACCTTTTAACTCAGAAAATATGGTACGGTCGTCTTACTTGATCATCTATGGTGTCAATCATCCAATCCTGTAATTGCATGTCAAAATCTGAATCGCTATCGTTTATATTAGCACTTTTGGTCATCCTTCTGAAATAAACTAAATATAATATCAATTCAACGAAATTATTGAATGAATGTATTCTTGCTTTTACTTTTCTTTTTCTTTCTGAATAAGTTTGTTTCCTTCTTAAATCCATCAGGAACAGTAGTAAAAATAAATGAGTAAATAGCTGCTCCAAAATATATGAAATTTTTTCAAAAGACAGTGGCTATTTTATTCGAACTTCCGGTGATATCCTTCGCCTATATCAAGAAAGAAAAAAATGCGGTGGGTGTGGGTAGTTACATTGTCTCATACCCACACCCGCAACATACAAATTACTTAATAGATAAATAAGTTTAAAAGATTATTACATTTCAATATTTAAATACTCGATTTGTTCTTCTTTCAATGTAGTTTTAATATTATCATTCGGTGTATGAAATTTATAGCATTAGTTAATAAAATACAAAGTAATAAAATGACTATTCAACTACTAGAATCAATAAATATTATTTCTTTTTGTTTTCAATCGTATGATAGCGATAATAGAAGAATCGAAAGTTTTAAATAGCTACACATTCCTCAAATAGCGAGATTTCATTAAAACTATCTCTTTTGAAAAGCTATGGTTAAGATCGCTTGCCTGCAAAGCGGCCGTCGGTCGATCTCGTTTCAGTGAACTAGTGATGGATCGTTACCGTTGTATCTTTATATTAGGGTCACGTAAAGGTCATACAAGCGAGAAAGGGAAAGAGAAATGCTTTATAAAAATGTCTCAAATAGCCGTTGAATCGATGATGAATATAGTATTAAGCTGCCGAAAGAGAAAGAAAAAAAAAGAAAAAGAGAAACTCGTGTAGATTCGTACACTGCTCTGTTCACTCCATATTACGCGTGCACATCTATATCCTTCATTCATACATACATTACAAGGTAACGTTCTACGTGGTAACAATGAATAGTAATGATCGATTCAACTGTTACTGTTATCTATTTTGGCTACTTTTTGTCGTAGTGAATGCCACCACCATTAATGACTTTGTGAGCAATGAAAGTACAAAGTCAACACTAGTGTTCTTTCGATGGTCTGGAGGATTTGGTCGAAATTTTCAAGAAATTCGTTGTGCTACCGATCAATCATCAGAAGATCCTTCTAATAGTCTCTCTGATGTCTATCCTGAAATGCGAGGTTCGTATTGAAATTCGACGTTTGCGTAAATTAGAAATGATAGAAAGAAGAATGCAAGAAAGTAAACGGAAAAATGAAAGTGAAGAAAGATGATGTGAATGATTGTAAAAGAATGAATATAATTTGCTCTTTTTCGTCTTTTCTTTATTTTTTTATGGTTTTATTGTGACATGATCAAAAACATCATTAATTATAACTTGAAAATATTCCGCCCAACATAAAACTGAGAAAAACTCGATTAAATTGAAATAAAAGTTTCAGCCTCTTGTAGATTTGTAACTAATCTATTCCTGATTCTAGGCCACTTCTCAAATTTTCAGATATGTTCTATCTTGGTACAGCAACGATCTACCCTTTCAAGCTGACTATAAATGACTACTTATTTAAGAAATCAAATTCCACCATTTTATGTGAATCAACCCGCGTGATAAGCCTCTCTAATAATAAAAACCGTAGCTCACCATTCTGTTCTTAACAAAAGTTATTTAAAAAAAAGATACTTATTCAAGCTTGAGATTCATTTTCTTATCTTTTTATTCGTTCAGTTTGAGTGAAACAAGAGTCTGATTTCAATATTCTCTTTTACAGTATTAACATATTCAGTCGACTTCGTTAAAACAAATGCGCAGCGTAAAACTTGTTTTCATTGTTTATTTAGATGCTGTGTATTTTCCTCCTGCTAATAATGACAGTCGACGAAACCGTTGTGAAAGCAATTCTTCTATTTTCGTCTACAATCCGCAAACTCGTCGTGTTCATCTCACGAACAATCGGCATTGCATTATTGTCAACGAAAAATCATATCATTATCTTGCAACTGAAGATTATCCCACCGTCAATCGCTTAAAATCAATTGCTTGCGATCGTGCCGCAACAGCTGCACCGATGAATTATCTTATTTGGGGCAGTGAATTTCGTTTGACTCGTAACGAAAGCAATAAGCAAAAGATTATCCTCCAATTTATTGCACCGATAGATGGACATGAATACACAATATATATCCGTGGTGATATACTCATTGTAGTTGACAGCAATGACGAAGCTCGAAAAGTCTTAGATCAATTACGAGAACCAACTCTGGAGATTATTGAAAATACTACAGATCAATGGTAGCGAATCACAATCAGTGCTGAAAACATTATAAGCTACTTTCACTGTTCGATCCGCATACTTCGCTGCGCCTGCATGTTTTTGGAAATATCCTAAAAATAATCTACTCTATTTACGCTCAGCCTTTTCTCGACCTCGCGCTTCTACTAGGAATGGATTTTTTACTACCTATTCATTTCTATTAATAAAATTTGTACACAAAATTAATAAAATGAACAACTTCTGCCTGTTTCTTCTTTTATTTGATTGCCACTCAGATAGAATGTAAAAAGGAATATGTCTTGATTTCTCTTGATAATCAGAATAAGTTCTATACAATACTGTAGAGATATTTCGTAATTTCATGTAGTCTGGTAACTTTAAAACGGGAAGTTGGTGCCATCGGTCAGGCTCTTTTATTACGGTGATCTGTAATCGAACCATCAATAATTACTAAAACATTGTTTATGGAGTGAATTGAAAGTGATTGAATAAAACTCTAACCACTTAAGTTATTATTTACTGGTTTTCTGTGAGTAGTTAGATATTTTTTGTTCGAATCTTAGAAAATGGCTTTAAAAACCGAAGCGAGGTGAGTCGAATTTATGAAATACTGCCTCGTTTCGGGGTCTGTTATATACATCGATGTCACTAACTATTATTTTATCGTACCTTATTTCCGAAAACATGTCTACGTGCGTTTTTTTCCTTCTCTTTGCTATTATCTTATCTGATTTCTTGTGCGTCTCATATTATCAACCCTAATATAGGAACGACAAAAATAAATACCAGCAAAAAAAGCATACGATAAAGACATTTTTTCATTAATTTTCATCTCTATCGAATCAATCACTATTTTGTTCTTTGACCCCTTGACATTGAGCCACCGGTTAATGTATTGCTCTCACCATTTCTTTTCTTTCAAAAAAACACCAATCACATGTCAATATACTGAGGTCACGTATGACGATACAAGAGAAAGAAAGAAAGAAGAAATAAATTTTTTTAAGTGGGTGATCCAGAGGACTGTTTGATCAACGATTAGTGTATCGGTAATACATTGAAATAGGAAGAGAGAAACGAATAGATTTATTCACTCTCTAGCTCGCTTATAACTAAGTTAGTTTATTCTTCAGTTCATATATAGAAGCGCACCTTAAATCAAAAGAGCACAATGATTAATCAACATCAATTCAAATACACTTACCTTTTCTTCTGGCTGTTTATTATCGAAGCTGACGCTGGTATCATCAATGACGCTATAATTATTAAAAATGCCAACATGACACCAATTTTCTTTCGATGGTCACAAGGATTTGAATTGAATTATAAACAAATTCGTTGTGCTACAGATCAAGCATCAGAAGACCCGTCTGGTATTTTTCTCGAGGCTTATCCAGAAATGAAAGGTATGTAAATAGTTGTGTCATTAAAGATCAATCTCTAGAATGATCATTGTATTCCGAATGTTTAGAAGAAAGTATAGTATGACATGATATTATTTTCACTGTATATTCATTTCTATTTCATTCATAGATGATGTGTATTTTCCACGCGCTCCTGATGACAGTCAACGATATCGTTGTGACAGCAATTCTTCTCTATTCATGTACAATCAACAAACTCGTCGCGTACGTATGGTCGGTAATGGGCATTGTCTCGTTGTCAGCCGAATGTCATATCATGACGGCTTTAGTGAAGATTATCCCGTCAATCGAATCTTAAAATCAGTTGATTGCAAACGAACAGCAACGAACGAGTCAACAAGTAGTCTTATCTGGGGTGGCGAATTTCGTTTAGTCCATGACAGTAACAGCAATATCAAGATGGTACTCCGTTTTATTTCACCAACAGATGGACATGAATGGACTATCTATATTAAAACTAATATATTAATTGTGGCCGAAAATATTCAGCAACAAGTAGACCGTTTGAAAGAGCCTTGGTTAGAGATCGTTAATAAGTACATGCCTGATGGCTGATGATCTACTAAACAAGTGTGAAGACATAAATAAATGTTGTTTTCAATTTTTTTGTTTTATTGAAATTTTTTTAGTGTTATTGTCTAGAATTTAGCGAAGCTTTATTCATTTGTGTTACAGATATGTTCTTTATAGATCTTCACACTATATTTGTTATTCGTATCTGTTTTTTTTCCATCTTTCACTTTCTTTATCTTGTTTATTTATTGTGTTATTTTTAAATTCTGTTTGGTGTTTGCTTCATCGAAGTAAGACAACACTAGACATTATGAGTTCTAATAATATCTTTGGTTTATGTACTTTGGGTAGAATATATGGATGGGTTAGTTTAGCTGCGTCTTTTTTAACCTTTAGTTTCTGCTATTGTTTTTGTGTAATATGATTTTTAGCTAGTAAACTAAGCAGGTTGCTAACTACTCGTTCGACTAAGAATTCAAGCAAGTTTTTTCACTAAAACTCTTACAGGTTTCATGGTGTTGGTCACGTAAAACAAGCTACTTGAGCTTCACTTTGTAGTCATGAGTTTTTACTAAATGAAATACTCTAGATTTACCTGTCTTTCTGCCAATTGTTTATATAACTTCCAGTATATTCGATAATTGGCTCATATCGCTTACCTAAACCTACGGAAGTTCTGTTACGACGATCTATACGTATCACTCAGAGCAAGTCTATCAATACCTATAACTGTTGTTTAGGTATTAACTATTCATGTTCAATAAAGATCTTCTTTATTTTATTAACAACGAACTATATCTCGTTTCCCATACATATATGAGTAAGATGACTGTTGTTAGGTATATATTTAAGGTCTAGTTTTAGAAGGATCTTCTCTCTCACACTCTCTCTCGTTCAGATTCATGCTGACTGTATATATTGTGCCTAGAACACGGAATCTTTCCGTAATACTAGCTTCAAATCAAGTGCTTCTTGTATCACGTAGTAGTGATTTAAATAGCAACTATGCCAACCAAAAATAAAATATGCAGAGCATCTGGTATTTCCGATTCACACCATATCTTACACTTTGATCAAAAAAGCAAAGTGTACGACGTACATTGCGGTGAAAAAAACTACATTTTGATTCGTAAATCTTAAAAACTGGATTTATTTGCCATGGATTATTCGAATACGTACGAATACATCACATATTGATATTTTTCCATACTAACAACTACATATGACTCACAAATTTTTCCCTATATCACACAAGTTCTTTTCTTTTCTATTGTGTACGTTTTTTATGTGCCAACCTAATAGAAAAACGAAATAAAAATAACTAGACACAGGAATAGATGTCACGACTGTGCCAAGAGAATAGATGGACATCCTTTCCAATACCCCCTTGCTTTACCACATTTATCTTTCTCTTGTTCTGTTTCTTTTTCTCTTGCTTTGCGTATTAGATATAATCAGTCTCAATACGAACACTTCGGATGAAGATTGGACTCAACATAGTGATACAATTTTAGCAATAGAGATCTGGTATTATTCAATTTCAAACCTTGAACAAATCCACTTTTTTCTGTGTTTAATTTTTCGACTTTTTCTTACTTTTTCTTTCTATATATTCCACCGTATCCAATTTAATTCAACGTGTTTACATTTTACATTGCATGAAACGATTGAATTTGTAATATGAATCCACTACCCTTTTCTATTTTGAAAGGTGATCTCAAATACCAACTTCAACTTTTGTGCTTTGTAATTAAGGTTATCTTCTCTAAATGTTATCTTTCTCTCTCGTATATAATAAAAACAACTACCGTAATCTAACAAGTACTCAAGAAATGAATATTCGTCTCTTTTTTTTCATCCTCTTTATGGTACTCTATGTGGAGAGCGAGAAGAAGTCGAAAAATATTCAATTTTCTTGCCGTAATTCAAATGAGACCTTGTGTGTTGAGAACAACCCAGCGGTAAGAGATAGTTTACACAACTTGATTTTTTTCTATTTTGTCGTATTTTATAGGTTGCTCTTAAACGTCATGCACTTAAATTTCAAAAACTCTGGATTTTCGTAAAACTTCAGCAAGAGTACAGATTCTTGACGCTAATTCGGATGTGTCTTCGCTTTGACGAATGAAATTGGTTTGAATCCAGTGAAGACGTAATGCTTACAAGTGTATGGCGAAATAACAAACAACTAAGAAAACTTATAGAAATCGACGTTATTAGTCCTCAATGTATTCTGGTGCCTCAAGAATGTTGCTAAGAGCATGAGGTAGGGTTTATTATATTTCTATTTAATATAGCAGTTGATAGAGTAATTTTTAGTGCTATAAAAACATCTGATATTTTTATTTATAATTTTTAGCCATCAAAAGAACGACTTCGAGACGCAGCCGACAATATGTCACAGTCATCTAGATGCACAGCTGTGATCGAGGCAGTGGACAATGGAGGTCTTTACATGATGATAACAAAATGTTGGTTAAAATTATTGCAAGGAAAAGCAGAGGAGCCAATTATGGTGAACAAGTTTATTCAGACGATTTCGATGGAAAACCCGTCACTTGTACGATTCGAAATAATTTGCATTGGGCAGTCGATCGAATGTTTCGCTATTTGTGGACGGTCGTGGGTGAAGATAAAAAAGAAACACCCACACCCACACCCACACCCAAGAAAGAGGTAAAAATGCTTCTTAACCTGACTTTCAACATCATTTTTTTTAGAAAATGAAGCAAAATCAAAAAAAGAAGCGGATCAGAAGAAAATAATAGTGTAGAACAATATTTATCCTGCAATACTTCAGTTAAAAGTTTTTTTCTATAATACTTATTTTTTCTTTCTTTTAAATCTTCTTCTTCACTTGTCACATGTTGTTCACTCTCTCAGCACGTGGAGGTCTATCTTATATATATTTTATAATAGTCAACTTTACTCGATAAATGTAGATGTACTTGATGCTCTATCTTATCATATTATAGAATAATAAACTTTCATTTCTCCACTGAAATATAGCAAATGATGAAAAACAATTAAAATTAACGTATTCAATCTGATCGATAACGTCTAAATGAGGAGAGAGAGACTAACAATGATAATTATAATACAAATATTAAGAAGAAAAAGGAAAAAATGTTTATCAATGAATTTTTTGGACTATTCATCGACGCTATATATTTTTTTCGCCAGGTCATCCATTCATTTTATTCAATACGGAAATGAATATGTAATGAACAACAAAGAATATATATATATATGCATCTTAAACAGACTGTTCATTACAGTCGATATGCGTCAGTCAAACGTTACTCTTCTTGATCTACCCAATGAAATATTGCTTATTATTTTAAAGAAACTTAATAATATGGATGTTCTCTATTCATTATTGGATATTGATAATCAAAGACTTGATATACTAGTAAGAGAAGAAGTTTTTACTAAATTACCGTTCAATAATAAAAAAAAACTTCTACTTCCTATTTGTGATTAATTATATGTAGATCAATAAATGATATATCATCTTATATCGATTATTTAAATTAAATAGGATAGAGTTACGTATTTTGTGTGTATGAGAATTTAATATCTGATTCAGTAGTATATGTCGGTAAATCTATAACAATAACTCTATATATTCATCAGCCATGAGCATTGATATCAGTTCGCAACCTTCATCTAATAAGTCCTTTGAATCAAGAGTTATTTTGCAAAGTAAAAGGAGATGAACGCTTTTCAAATGCGAAATGAATGTTTATCTTAAAGCTTTGAAGATGAGAGTTGATGGTGAGAATGGAGCCGATATCAAAATCTGATTTCGCTATACTTCAGTTTGGTTTCTAACAAATACTATACAGAAATATATCATTGTTTTCATTGACGACATCGGTCAACTAACACACATGAGTATATATATGTATAAGGAAAGCAAAAAATAAAGATCGGAAACGAAAATAAACATGGAAAATTCATTTATTCAATTGAATGATTTACCTGATGAAATTCTTTTGATTATTCTGAAAAAATTGCTTAATACTTGTGTACTCTATTATTTAATATGTATTCATAAACGACTTGATACTAGGGGTGGTACATTTATGTTAATTTGAGATTTACGGTTAACGGGTTCCATTAATTAACACCCGTTAATTAAGTCCCGTTAAATAAAATGGTCCATCCCTACATTCGTATTTATTTTTCATATTTCGTTTTATTTATATTTCTTAACACAAAAAATGTCTATATAATATCAAAGCCATATTTGAATTAATTGAGAAGAACATTGTAATCGATATGATCGATTGAGAGGTTGTTCATATAATTGTCGTCGAATTTTATGTGGAAAGCATCGTGTTTTTGAATTAGTTTCCGACGAGATAATTATTGATAGAAAAACAAGTTGTTGTAAATGATCAACAAGAAAATGAGTAAGATCAATAACCTTTTTAGTAGATTTATCTTTTTCACGAAACACTTCATAAATAGAAAATGATAATTCTTTTAAATTCGGTAATCGATATGATATTAATTTACAGAAATCTTTTGCATTATGTAATCTTAATGAACAATCATCGGTATCAAACGAATCTATCTAAATAAATATAAAATAAATTCCTTTTTCTTCAAATTAAAATTCCTACTTGTTTATTTACACGAGTTCCAAGATCATTATGATTATGCAATATTGCACGCGGTAAATATCCTCTAAAATCTGCTATAGATAATGTATGAACATGAGAAGCCATTTGTAATATAGATTCTAATTCAATTGCAGTAATATTAACATCTTCTTCAATAGAAATTTTTCTTATTAATGTCCATGGAATTGATGATGATGTAAAAGATTGACAATTTCCAAATTCAGAAAAACAATTCTTCTGTTTATATGCTCTTAAAACTAATTCATTCGCATGTGGAAACAAGTCGATTGCTTCCATTGATTTTTCATAAGTTCTAAAAAATAAAAAAAAGATTCAAATATATTTTTGTAAATTTTTTCACAAAAAAATACTTGTTTGGTTTCGTAGGAAATAGATAAGACGGAATCTTGATTTCATTATGTGGTAATGTTGATAATGTAAAACAATAAGAGTTTTCACAAACAGACCAATCATCAATTTCTTGAATAATTTTTTTCGATCTTTGTTCTGATTGATTAACAAATGGAGCATTTAAAAAAGAATTCAAAATCTTTTTCTCTTCTAGATCATTCTTTACATGAACTAATAGATTAAATCTATAGAATGTCGATGATTTTCAACGATTGATACATAAATTTTGTATCGTATCACCTGTTATTATTAACCGATCAGATATTGATGTAGTTGCAAGCAATTTCAATGATAAATAAGTAAGTTGACCAAATATAGATGATAATAATGCAACAGCTTTATGAAAACTTATTTTATCCTCACAATTCATACTTAGACGAAAAAGATAACGAAGTTGACGAGCATCAATTGGACTAGGCATTCTAAAATATCATTTTATTAATGCTCTTAAAACTCATCTTTTGTTACTTACTGAGTTAAGTCTAAATTTTCATCTTCATAAATGTCTTCATGTTGTATACCGAAAGAAAGATTTTGAATATTCGGTATACAAATTACTAAACGTTCTAAAAATCGGAATGTCTTAATACCAACACTCAATGTATGAAGATAGACTGTTGATGAAATATTTGGTAGGTTCATCAATAGTGGTGCTCTTGCATTTGACAAATTCTCACGACCAAAACGACAGAAATCAAAAGGTAATCGACAAATTCGTAGATCAGGTAGTTGTAAACACACCTTTTATAAAAATAAAAATTTAATTATTTCTTAAGAAACGAAAACTTTTTTCAAATAAACAATGATATCATTTTGAAGAAGAATCGAAAAACTATTGAATTTTTATCGGATATAGAGAACATATTTCAGATAGTTTCATAAATATGAAAAAAAATAGGGGCGCAGAATTTGCTGTCAAAATAAAAAAATTTCCTGACTGTTAAAGTAAAGAGATTCTTTTTTTAAAGTATATATCTTTGAAAAAACTTCTCCATGCTATTCTCAGCAATTTTCGACTTGAATGTTTTGCCAGGCTGATATTTATTGCACTGATCTTTCGCTTTGTCTTTACAACTATTCCAATGACAATAAAAGCATGTTACATGTTTTTTTGTTTGGAAACATTATCAGTTTTTCGAATGAAGAGTTAATGAAATTCGATATTAAAGCAATCAAGACAATGAAAGAAAAAATGCGGATGTAAAATTTATCTTAACCACTAAATCATCTTTCTTACTTTTATACATATTTGTTCCTTCTTAAATATAGATGCGCAAAATGACATAAAATATATACTCATGTCGATAGAGAGAAAGATACTCTGAGCTGTACGAGGAACACATGAAGTCATCTTATTTTCTATTTCTAAATAAATCAGATAATCTGTGCGTATTATTTGTAGTCTAAGATCTATAAAAGACAAACTTTTCTCTTAATTTTTCACATCAAGATTTCGTATAAGTAATAATTTTTCATAAATTTCCTGCGATGCGTGCTGACTCACACGGGTATATTGTCTACCTTTTAAACAAAGATTCAATTACTTTCTCTTCACATTTGTGTTATGAAGAACGTTTATATGATTTTATTCACCGTTCAATAAATTTAACAAATCTTACAAACCACATCGCTAATATTTTCTTACCTTTGCCAAATATGCTCCTTCTTCTCTTTGACTATGAAATACACTGTCCTTTGTCAACTCTATCACTAAAGTGTGTAGTTGTTTCACAAAACGATTATTTATTAATTTATTAAATTCGCCGGGTTCAATATCGATTAGATGAAGATGTCGAAGTAATGTTGTTTGATGATGATGAAGAGATGATGAAATAATTGGCCATCCATTGATAACATTGCGTAAGCTTATACGTATTGAAACAATTCGTGAGCCTACGCGTTTTAAAACATTTTGACAGTTATCATTGAACATACTTAATGATGTTGTATTATTATCCATATGAATATGCCATAGATATTTGTTAAGAAGCATTCTTGAAAAATGCTTATTCAATGGTAAAAATGATTTAATGACATCAAAAGGAGGTAAATAATCAAATATTTCAAAAAAAATGTCAATCGATAAATGTTCGAATGAAGTTATCGACATTTTGCTAATAGATATCTCACATATTATCTCATTTTTCATGTATTTATATATTGTGACATAGGGGTCAAACAGGCGAAAAAATGTAAGTAAAATTAAAGTTGAACTAAGCAACGTCGTTGACGTTTCTATACAATAACGGTAGTTATATTGGTTGATTCACTTTGAATTTATTTTATTTTTTCAGTCTGCTTGAGGTCACATAAACAAAATTGCATATCCATCTATTTTATTTGGACGACTATTGTTCTAAATTTGTCTTGATTAATTTATATTCGTTTTAATTCGGAAAAACACAACTTTGACTTTTTCAGATTTTGAGATAATTAAACAATGATTTGTCTAAGTTTCACTCGATCCTAAGGCAATCACGTATACTCAGAACTGTCTGAAAATCTTCAAATCATCATTTAAATTTAATTTAATAGATGAAAAATTAATATTAAATATGTTATAAGAGATTCCAACGTTGACACTGTATATATTTTAAAATCTCAGAAAATATAGCAATTCTTACCAATGCCATCTATCTCTCATTTTCAATTGGTTCGCTAATAATTATTATTTATCCTTATACGTGTGTATGTGTGTTGTTCTTTTTTCAAGACTCTGTCATTCATTCATTCTTGTTTTATTAGCAACGTTTACGTATATTGAAATGAGTGACATGTCAGCAACAAAACAACTTGCTGGAGATATGAATTCTCCTGCTCCTCAACATTCAGAAGTACCACTTGGTACTTCTACAGACAATAATGTTAGTTCTACTAACAATAATATGTAAATATAATATTGATAATAATTATTGGTAATCTATATTGTTCGTTATTAGGTCTACGTGGGCAATGTCTAATCTTCAGAAATTAAATGTTACTGAATTATATACTCAACAACGTCAAAGTTTACGCCCTTGGCTTGATTTTTTTAATACAAATCAATTTAAACCACCAGCAAATATTAAAGCTGGTAAAAAATAATTTGATTATTTAAAAAAAAAATTATACTTTCGTGTTTTGTTTAGGTGCACGTCGACTTGTTTTCAATGTTGAACATTTTCAAACAAATTATTTCATTGTAATTATTATTCTATCAATTTATTGCATGTAAGATATTGAATTCGTTCTTTTTGTTTTGATATGAAAAACTATAATATATTTTCATTAGAATTACAACACCTGCTTTACTTTTCATATTATTAGCAATGGGTGCTGGTTGTTATTTAGTTAGTTTAAAAAATCGTGAAAGTCCATTAACAATTATGAGTAAATAATTTAAATAATTTTTTGTATTGTTCTACGAATATTTTTATGTTTAGATCATCAAATTGCGATAAGTCAACAATATTTAGCAGTATTTTGCCTTTGTGTACCATTACTTTTGATGGTCGGCGCTGGTTCAGCAATTTTTTGGATTTTAGGTGCTTCCGTATTCGTCATATTTCTTCATGCACTTTTTCATCAAACACCAAATCAAGAAGCATTCGGTGTTCAAATGGAAGAAGTTTGAATAAACAAGAAAAAAAAGAAACAGATCTTTGATTGCTTTTTTTTGCTTCTCTACATTTTGTGATATGATATTCTTCTGTGGGTGCCTCTCTTAATACACATGCCCAAAGCAACTGATACTATTTTCTTTTTCGACCATTAAAAAAAAATATTTATAAAGTGTTCCGTTTTATTTAAATTCAAGAATAAAAAAAATATATATATAAACTTATTTTAGATGGCACCATCATCAGATTATATCCTAGAATTTAAAATAGATGTTTTTAAAACTTTAAAAATTGTTGGTATAACAACAGGAGTTTTAACAGCAATTGGTCTTGGAGCTTATTATATACATCGACGTACACAAAGTTCAAAACGTGTTATTCTACGAGATGAAGTAAGAAATATTCTTCGACCATTTCAATTGACTGAAGAACAACTTCGTCGTGTTATGGCTAATTTAAATACAGAAATGACAAATGGTTTAAAATCAGATGATACAGAAAATCTTGATTTAGCAATGTTTCCAACATATGTTCATCATGGACCAAGTGGACAAGAATCAGGAGAATATTTAGTTGTTGATTTAGGTGGCTCAAATTTTCGTGTTTCACACGTATCTATTGAAGGACGAAATCGAATGCGTTTAAATAATAAAATATTTCTCATTCCACATTCATTATTGTTAGGTGAAGGAGAAAAATTATTTGATTATATTGCTGAATGTTTACAAAGATTTATTGATGATAATAAATTATCGTTACTTAAATCTGCGAATTATAAATTTGATTTAGGTAAAAAAAACTTTCTTTTTGTTTGTCATATTATTTATTTGTTTCTCTTTTAGCTTTTACATTCAGTTTTCCTTGTAAACAAACGAGCTTAAGAGAAGCTACATTAGTATCATGGACAAAAGGTTTCAGTTGTACTAGTGTTGTTGGTAACGATGTTGTACTTATGTTACAACAAGCAATTGATCGACGAAAAGTACGATTAATAGAAATGAAATCAATCAATAACTCATTATTTTATTTAGGGTCTTAAAATACAAGTTGTTGCTTTAGTTAATGATACAGTTGGTACATTAATGGCGTGTAGTTCAATTTATCGTGATTGTAAAGCTGGTGTTATTCTTGGCACTGGTAAATTACTTATTTAAATTTAATTTTAATTCACTTTTATATATAGGAACGAATGCATGTTACTTTGAAAATCTTGATAATGTACCTAAATGGACAGGTGTACGAGATAATATACATAAACAAGTTATTATTAATACAGAATGGGGTGCACTTGGAAGAGTTCGTTATCAATTTTGAAATAAAGATTTTTATTCATAATGAATATTAATTTATTTAGCATGGTTGTTTGGATTTTATTCGAACTGATATTGATCGTGAACTTGATGAATCAAGTTTAACACCACATCAACAAGTTTTTGAAAAAATGATTTCTGGTAAAAAAAGAAAAGATTGTTGTAATGAAATCGAAACAGAATTCTTTCATTTTTAGCTCTTTATCTTGGCGAAATTGTTCGTTTGATTATTGTTGATTTAGTTCAACGTTCAATACTTTTTCCTGGTCGTATGCAGAAATCACCAAGTATTCGTCCTGATTATAATATATTTCTTATTCTAAGAGGTAAAGAAAAATAAGATAAAATAGAATAAAAATATATATGATTGTTTTTTAGGAAGTTTCTATGCAAAACATGTTGCTGATATTGAGAATGATACAAGTAAACGCAAAAACAAACTTTCAAAATATCTACTGATTAAATGAAATTTTTATTTTTTCTTAGCCGAAGATTTGTCAATTACAACAACAATTCTTACTTCCATTGGTATTCATGATCCATCATATGATGATTGTTATATTATTCGAGAAGTTTGCAAAACAGTATCACTTCGTGCTGCTAAACTAGCAGCAGCAGGTAAAATAAAATAATCATACGTAAAAATGTATATGTTTTATTTGATTATTTTAGCTGTTGCTGTTCTTATTAATCGTCTCAATATGTCGTCAGTTACAGTAGCTATTGATGGTACACTTTTTCGTCATCATCAACAATTCAAACACAATCTTACTCGTACCTTAGGTCGACTTGTTCCAAGAACAGTAAATTCTAATTGAATATGACTTTCTATATTTTATTTAATCTTTATTTTATAGCATCGCTTAGTTCTTTCTGAAGATGGTTCATCAAAAGGTTCAGCATTGGTAGCTGCTGTTGATCGACGTTTAAAAACAGCACCAATGACATATGACAAAACAAATCTTCCATCATAAATTTTCAGAACAAATAATCTCAATGAATTTTCTTATATCTTTGATCTCCTAGTCATTTTTGCATGAAACATTTCTATAATTTATTTATTTAATCCTAATCTCTTATTGTTCATTTAATCATTTCTGTGAATCTAAATTATCTCCCTTTTATTTTTGTTGTCTTTCTAAATTAGTGTTTATTTCTATGTCTATATTTTTCTTTAGATTAATTATTATATGTTTTTTAATGGATGGACTTTATTTGCCTGATGGGCGTCAACTTGCATTAATTGATCGTGATTGGATTCTTGACGAACTACCACATTTAGGTAATCCAGACGATAATTCAGACGCGAATTATTTACTTGCATCAGCAGCAATCGCTAATAGTGGTACTGGTATAGTACCTGGAGGAGGAGGAGGTTCAACTAGTCGAGGTACATCAGGTATTGGAACAGGAAGTAGTACATCACACGGAGCAACTGTTCATACAGGTACTGGTGCTAGTACTGGTGTAGATAGTACAGGAACTAGTGGTAATACAGTAATAAATCATTACGTTACAGGTGGTGCTCATAATCATAGTTTATTATATAATCCAGACGAATTTGAAGGTGATTTAACATTACTTTCGGAAATTGTTGACGAAACACAAAATAAGTGGTCTGATTTTGGACTTAATCAATTGTTAACACCATACGCACGTACAATTCGTCCAACATTTAAATAAATCAAATTGTAAAGTATTATGTTTCTTATTCAACGTTCTATAATGCGTCTTAGACGTTATTTACTTCGATATCGCCTTATTATTCATAGACGACCAAAATTACAAAAACT